GGTGTTCAAGACCAAGGTGCTGGCATATCCCGTGTCTGATGAGGGCTCTCTTCCGGAATTGCTGATGTCCGCCATCTTGTTGTGTCCTCACATGGCAGAGAAAGCAAGAGAGAGAGGGAAACTCTCTTATGTCTCCTCTTACAAGGGTACTAATCCCATTAATGAGGGCTCCACCCTCAAGACCTAATTATCTCCCAAAGGCCTCACCTCCACACAAGGGGTGAGGATTTCAACTATGAATTTTTGGAGGACGCAAACATTCAATCCGTAGCACTTACTGAATCAGAATCTGCATTTTAACAAGATCTCCAAGAGTTTAGCCTGCACCCTAAAGTTTGAGAAGCACTGTTTTAGGATTACAAACTATTTTATTGAGATTATCTCATTGATCTTCACGTTGTCCCAGGAGGTTGGCAAGAAAAGAGGAAGCAGGGAAGACATTCCCTTAACCACTTTGTTTAACCCATTCTTGTTTTCAGAATGAAGATTTAAATGCTGATAGGGTCACTGTGATTGGGCACACTTGCAATTTCCTCCCATCAAAGGGCAGGGTCTCCTTTTACCCCACCTCCTGCTTCCAGACCTGATTAGCTAGAGGCAGAGTGAGACTTGTCAGAGATGGGTGAGGGTGGAGCAAGTCGGGGGAGCAGGTGGTTGTAAGTGGGTTCAAACCTTAGAGGAGCCACTGCATACACACCCTTAACCATGGTCTCAAAACTGCAGATTGCACCTTGCAGATCGCCACAGCAGCCACGTCTCTGTGTATCCTGTTCTGTTTGAAGTCATTGTCAATTTCAACTGGCGGCATTAACTTTATAACACTTTTTTAAAAATAAGATAATCACTGGAGTAAATGGACATATCTACTGTAAGAGTCATTTTGATATCAGAAATGTTAAAATTTGAAATAGGTATGTTTCTGAATCAAGGAAGTATGATAGAAAGCTATGGAGCAAGATTCAGAAAGTAATCAAGAAAAATAAGGGTGTTGGGAGACAAGCCTGATCAAACACTTAGGAGAAAAGGCTGCAGGAGCAGGTACAGACAAAAAAGTATGGCTGAAGGACTCTGATGGTTAAAACAGAAAGAGAGGAAGAAATGTCTGGTTTATTGGAGACCTCATCACACAGGCTTGAACTTATAAACTTCCGGCATGACAATCCCTATCCGTTCTCATACACATCTCTGCTTCATATCTGTTAACAGTTGATGGATTTTTAAAAAAATTATTTCTTTATTTTTTTATTTTTACGTTTTTAGAGATAGAATCTCAGTCTGTTGCTCAGGCTGGAGCGCAGTGGCACAATAATAGCTTACTGCAGCCTCAAACTCCTGGGCTCAGGTGATCCTCCTGCCTCAGCCTCCTGAGTAGCTAAGACGACAGGCATCTGCCACCATGCCCAGCTATTTTATTATTTTTTGTAGAGATAGGGCCTCACTGTATTGCCCAGGCTGGTCTTAAACTCTTGAGCTCAAGTGAGCCTCCTGCCTCAGCTTTCCAAAGTGTTGGGATTACAGGTGTGAGTCATTGCACCTAGCCAGATTTTCTACAAATAAAGTTTCTAGTTCTTTCATTTCACATAGTTGATAAGAGTAACTTTTCTTTCTCTTTCATTTTTTTTGAAAAACCATTGCTTAACAATTAAAAAGGCCTGTCATTTTAAAACTCAAAATTCAAAAATGGGAAAAAATAAGTTATTATCCACATTATGAGGGAGTCTCACACTTACAAAATAGTAAATTTCTTTAAGTGAAAAATTTCTCTGATGTCTTTCTAGATGAATTATTATTTGCATAAGAAGAAAGCTTCAATTAAATTCAATTCAACAAGTCTTTATTGGTGATCTATTTACTGTGCTAGTATATAAAAATATAATATTAGAATTCCCTGCTAGTGGAAGAATTAAAAAAAAAAAAAGAATTAAAGGAAACCAGGTAATTGTAATTGTCCAATGGGTACATAATTTGAGTCATAAATAGTTGACAGTCTCATCTTTTAATAATATTCTTATGCATAATAAAATATATATTTTATTAGGTTAAATTCTGGACTATTCCTACAAGTGACTTCATTGCATTAACTTGATCATTTCTCCACCTGCATAAAATCTTCCAGTGTCTTCCCATTGATCTCAGGATAAAATTTAAATCTTGTCCCTGAGGACGGATCCAGGTGTTTCTCTACCAGGGTGGTCCCTTCCTAAACCTGGAGTCCAAGAATAGGGTACTGATGTTCCCAGATACACTGTGCTCACCTCAATCACTGTACCTTTTCATGTAGTGATCCCATTGTCATCATTTTTTTTATTTCTTTGAGACAGAGTCTCACTCTATCACCCAGGCTGGAGTGCAGTGGCACGATCTTGAGTCATTGCAACCTCTTCCTCCCAGGTTCAAGCAATCCTCCTGCCTCAGCTTCCCAATTAGCTGGGACTACAGGCATGTGCCACCACATCCAGCTAATTTTTTTATTTTTAGTAGAGACTGGGTTTCACCATGTTGGCCAGGCTGGTCTCGAACTCCTAACCTCAGGTGATCTGCCTGCCTCCCATTGCCATCTTATAACACTTAATCTACAGGGCCTTGCACAATGCCTAGGACAGAGGGAGTGCTTGATCATATGGCTGGTGGAGTGGTGGACTGACTGAATGAATGCTATAGAACCACTCAAGATTTTATAGAGCTTAGGATCTGTCTCATTTGTTCTCCTAACTTGGAGAGGACAGTATTTTGCTGTTGTTTGTTTAAGAGGTTTTTGCTATGTATTTGCTATGTATTACTATGAAAAAAAAAATACTGGGCTAGGATTTGGGAGATTCCCAGCTTTCAACCTTGTTAATTGGATAACAGTGGACTAATTATTTATCCTGTCTGGATTCTTCATCTGCACAGTGAGGAACTTGTCTGAACCATCCTGATTTCCTTCAGCTCTAACTTCAGTGGTCTTTATCTTCCCTATTCATATTCTTGGTAGTGTTTAGTCTCTTTCTCTAGCCTCACTCATGGCCTTTTTTTTTTTTTTTTAAATTCTTTTTGTAAGAAATTGCATATGCACTAATATCAGCAACCTGTGTGACCATCCATGAGAATAGCAGTTCAAAACCCAGGCTTTATGTTAGCCAAGGCTGAAAGGTAAACACACACGGGAAACAGTGAAGCTCAAAAAACCAAGCATTTTATTCATTAGGCCATCTGGCCATCCTTCACAGTGTCTTTCTGCATAGTCATCGGGAAAATACACACTAGAAGCTGTTAATTCATAGATAAATTTTCTGGCCAAAGATCTCCTAGCTGAAAAGCCAGACACTGGTAAAATGCTAAGTATTTTTTAGTGGCATGTTTTTAATACCATGACTAATTTCCTTCTTGTGATCTATAATTTGATATTAAGATTTTAAGCAATTTGAAATGGTTGCAGCTCTTTTTTCGAGGTACCTTGCTTTCATCTTGTTAAACTCTTCTTGTTATGGTTAATAATATCATTAGCAATTGATATGATTTGGCTCTGTGTCCCCACCCAAATCCCTTCTTGAATTATAATCCCCATAATCCCTACATGTTGAGAAAAGGATCTTGGATCATGGGCGTGGTTTCCCCCATGCTGTTATCATGATAGTGAATGAGCTCTCATGAAATCTGACACTTTATTAAGGGGCTCTTCTGCTTCACTTGCACTTCTCTCTCCTGCTGCCTTGTGAGGAAGGTGCCTGCTTCCCCTTTGTCTTCTGCCACGATTGTAAGTTTCCTGAGGCCTCCCCAGCTAGAGGTAACTGAATCAGTCAAGCCTCTTTCCTTTATAAATTACCCATTCTCAGGAAAGTTTTTTACAGCAGTATGAGAATGAATTAATATAGCAGTAGATGCTAAAAACATGCAACTGAGCAGTATAAGAAATAACAGCTAATGTGCACCTCCCTTACATCTGCTTAACTTCTGCAGTTTCTTCTGAACTTCATAGCCACACACTTTGTATTAATAGTCAAAGATGTATATATATTTTTGTAGAGACAGGGTCTCACAATGTTACTCAGGCTGGTTTCAAACTTGGGCTCAAGCTGTCTTTCAACCTTGGCCTCCCAAAGTGCTGGGATTACAGGCATGAACCACTGCACCCGGCCAATCACATACCTTCTTGTTTCCTTTTGATCACAGCTGCTTCATATGCTTGAAACTGCTCAATAAAGCCCCAGAACATACTCCCCTCTTAGACTCTCCACCCACTGGTCAATCCCCAAAGATTCCTGGAGTCTAATTTACCAGCTGCTTTACCCACCTGCAACTTCACTGCTAAGTGCTCTGGCAGTGCCTGCCAACTCCCAACAGGTCCTCCCATCCAGCCTTTCCACCCTATGAAAGTCCAGGCCAAGCCCATTTCTGAGCTGAATCAACTAATTCAGAAATTCCATGTCAAGTCCCCACAGCACTGGTCAGCAGAGCAGAATGATGAAAACAGCTGTCTCTTGTCAGCAGGTTCTGATGGGACTTCCCAAGGTGTGACGCCTATTCTAACCCTTTCTCAGCGTCCCTCAGATATTTTCTGTTACCTTGCCAATGAACACTTCAATTATTTTTCCAACAAGGGTTGGAAAAAAAAACAGTTGAATTTTCATTTCCTCTTTAACTTGTGATTGAAAAAAAGAGCCCTGGAAATTTAGCTATGGATAAAAATAGCTTCAGTAACTTAAAGCCGTTAAGTGAACATAAAAAAGCTCTTTGTGATCACAGGGTATCTGAAACCTGGCATCTGTCACCATTCCTCTGTCCTCATCCAGAGGCAAGGCATTTCAAACAAGGATTCCATGGTTAATGGCACCTTGAGAGAAAGTGCTCCCAGGTGCCCATCAAACCTGTCACTCTCAACAGCTGTTGCTAAGTGATGACTTGTCCTTCCACCCTCTGTTGCTTTTTTGCATAAACAGGTCTGCTGAGTTGTGCCAGGAGCATCTTCCAAGGCTGAGTGTGCTGTGCCCCCATCCATGTGCACATCGAGTCACCCTCACCTGGCTTTGCTGTGCCCGTTCCAGCATTCCTCTTCGTTGGACGTGCCCGCTGTCACGCTCTCGTCCTTGCAGATGGTGTAGGGTAATGCCGACCAGACCTTTTTAGAGAGCTTCAATTTCTCTTTTATGTCTGTGACCTGATCAAGAAACCAAGGAAAGCAAGTGAATGTTCTGCTCAGGCTTTTCCCATTTCTACACAAAAATGTATGCAGGCGGAGTTACAGAACCTGTGATGTGACCAGCATGAACTCTGATGGTTTTAAGAGAGAGACATTGCACTGCAGAGTTTATTGCCCGGGAAAGCCTCCTTTCCTCTCCCTCAGTCCTCCTCTAGCTGAGAGTTCTCAGGTAACTGACAACTTTTTGTTTTTCATCTTTTCTGTCCCTCTATCCTTTGAATTAAAAACTTATGAAGCATTGCGCCTGGCTTCGGGTCCCTCTCCTGCTGAGAGTCCCTGTGTGAACACCCCAAGTATAGTCTCTAGAATTCATTTGCTTGCCCATCAGACAAACGTACCAAAACAAACGCACCAAGAGATAAATACTTTTCCCAATGGACTGCTTGTTTCTGCAAAAAATAAATATTGCCGCTAATTCAGCTGCTGGTACTTCTGCTCTAGTGCAGATGATAGGCACTTACAGCACACACATGGGTGGTAAGCAATAAAGCAAACCCTCTTAAAAATCTCTAGAATTGAAAGAGAAGTCATTCTCAATGCGGGCAAGTGTAAAATTCACAGCCCTGTGGACGGATGGCCAGGAAAAGCTTAGTGCCAACATGTGAAGTGTCTTCAGACTGAACACTGAGTTTTTACTTGCAGAAAGGGTAGGGAGAGGAATTTAATGTCATCTGGCTTCATAATGAGCCCTGGGAAAGTCCAGAGATGACTGGAATGCGTCTGCCATGAATTGAATTCTTTTTCTCTCTTTAACGTGCTAAAGTCCTAACCCTTGGCACCTTAGAATGTGACTTTATTTTGAGATGGGGTCATTACAGAGTAAAGTGAAGTCGTTTGGGTGAGCCCACACTCAATATGACATGTCTGTACAACAAGGGGAAATATGAGCAGAGAGACACGCACAGAGGGAAGATAATATACAGAGATGCAGGAAGAAGATGCCCATTTACGAGCCAAGGAGAGAGGCTTAGAACGGATCCCTTCCTCCCAGACCTCAGAAGGAAACAACGCTGCTGACACCTCAGACTTCCAGTTTCAGACTTCCAGCCCCCAGACTTGGAGACAGTAAATGTCTGTTGTTTAAAGCAACTCAGTATGTGGTACTTTGTTATGACAGCCTTAGCAAACTAATATAGATGGAAAAAAAAAAAAAAAGTTGAGTCACCATATGATGGGGAATGGGATATTTACAGCATCTCAAAGCACCTGATAACACAGATTACTTATTAATTACAAAAGGAAAACTGGTAATTTTACAGTGTGGAAAGTTGGCAGGCCACCACCTTCACCAAGTGATCAGGCAAGGGGACAAATTGGTAACATATTCCTCCTGATGTGATGTGTCAAGATGGACACACCACTTAGGCAGCCCCAAATTCATAATCTGAGCCTAATTATGGGGACACATCAGACAAACCAAAACTGAGGGGCATTCTAGAAACCAGCTGCCCTCTACTCATCCAAAGTGTCCATCATAAAAGACAAGAAAGAGCTGAAGAGTTTTTCCAGATGAAGAATAAGAGATGTGAGAGCCAAATGTAGCACAGGATTCTGGACTGAATGCTAGGTCAGAAGGATAATTGCCAATAAAACATTATTGAAATAGTGGGCAAAATTTGTATGCTGCCTCTCTATTAGGTAATAGTATTATGTCAGTGTTAAATTTCCTGAATTTAAAATCATACTGTGGTCATGCAGGAGAATACCGTATTCTTTGGAGATACACACTGGAGGATTTAAAATGAAAGGGGTAAAATTTCCACAAGTTGCTCTGTAACAGCTGAGTAATAATCAAGAATAACAATAATTACACAGATGTATAAAGAAAAAGAGAAAAGGTAAATTGGCAACTTTTTAATAGCTGGCAAATCTAGATGAAGAGTATAAAAGTTTTCCAAAAAAATGCAATTTTCAGTAAGTTGGAATTTTTTCAAAATAAAAATGTGAAAAACAATTTCTCACATTTTATTTGGTATGCATAATGTCCACTTTGGTGTCCCCAGCCTCCACCAAAGGTGTCCCCTCTGTAGACCACTCATTCTCACTCTTTTCAAAACAAACCTCAGAGAAAGAAATACATATTAGACATTTATATCTGGTTCAGAAAATGACCACCACCTTCAGGACTGAAATACTGTCAGGTTTATTCTGTCCCATAATAAAACAAACTAAGAATGAGCATTCTCTTTCTGCTGATTTTGTACTAAAATCCTACCTCCAGGTTATGGGAATCTAAACCAGATACACAGATTTTGCAACTCAGAGGAAGAACAAAATTGCATGGTGTCCCACAAGTGTCTCCCTTCCAATATGTGCAGAATGTAATTGTGGATGCTGCTCTACTCATTCTTTGAATTGTTCTCAAACATTGTTTCCTTCAGGATGTATTCTTGGGTCCCCAAGTTAGATTTAGATTCAACTTTCTGCACTGCACAGGGTCCTCTTGATGATTCTAAGTACTGATCACTCCAAACTCTAATAATTGGCTTATTTTTCTGATTCTCTTTTAGACAACATGCTTATTGTTGGCAGAAATGGGGTTGTAATTTATCTTTATCCACAGTGTCCAGTATGGGCCAAGTGACTAACCATCCAAATTTGTCACAACTTTGGGGATTCCAGGATGATGAATTTTCAGCCTTAAAATGGGAATGTCCCAGGTAAACCAGGATGAGTTGGTCACACAGATCTCAGCACACAATAGGTGCTCAATAAATATTGGTTGAGATAATGGGTTGAATAGTCCCATTCTGTTACAAGGTCATAGGCTGTATGGTTAATATGAATTAGCTGGGGTCACAATAATGTGTGTTCACCCTCCCAAAAGGGGTGGGAGGAAGCTGTGGGGTTGTATTTGGCTAAGTGAGGAGCCCATCACAATGATGGGGACATAGGTTTTCTCTCATTGGTCACGCCAGCACATTTATAATCAGAGTATGTTCCCTCTGGCATTTCAGTAGCTGTGTGTTTTCATTGTGCAATTGAAGGAGATAACATCAAAGGAGCAGTGAGAAATGTAAATGCTGTTTTAACATTCTGCACAGAAGCATTGGCCAATTCACCTGCAGAAGGTGACGGTGAGGCAGACGGCTGAAAAAACGGACACTATTAACCACTGGAAAAGAACATGCCTTGGATTCTAAACGAAACTGAATGATTGCAGTTTATTTTTCCATATCACAAAAGCCTTTCAATTTGCACATCATTTAGAAATATTTTTCTCATTTTATTTATTTATTTTTCTGAATAATATATGTAAATGCTCTGCTGTAGCTCCAGGGCCTGAGGTTTTTGTTTGTTAGTTTGTTTGTTTTGTTTTTTCCTAGAAACTTTTTTTTTTCCTGGAAACTTAAATGCACACAACTGTGAATGAAGCTTATGTTAACGATCACTCTCAGTACAAATATATTAGTGACGATGACAGTGAGCCTTAATTCATTAATAACACGCCGGATGGAAACAAAGACTTGGGATAAAATACAAAATGTCTAACAATTTCCTTTCTCTGATTCCTGAATGAGCTTTTCTAGGACAAACGAACTCTCACCAATACTTGCGAATGGTGTTCACCATTGCTCCAATATTGTATTAGTGATGTTGTAGTATTAGTGACACTGTTCCTATTTCAGTATTATTTTCTGTCATCTACGCTATTGATAGATACTGGAAGTGTATGTCTCAGGAATCTGATCCAAACATATACTGTTGCAGTTCACAGGGAAAATATGAGCCCTCTTTTAGGGTTTATCTGGAGTTGATTCTGTTTTCTGATAATCGCAACTCCTGGTATCAGTAGAGACAAACACTCTTAGTTTAAGACCTGTCAAAAGGCCCATGAATACTTGACTCTATTAGGAAGAGAGGGCACCCTTCTCATATCTGCCATTACAGCACTGTAAAATTAGGCAAAAGAGGGAGGAAGTTGACAAGGTGGATGATTGCTAAAAACAAAGAGACTAGCAAAACCAGTGAGCAGAAAGAAACATCCAAGTACTCTTGAGTCTTGCTTTGTCTCCATACTGGAGTGCAGTGGCACGATCTCGGCTCACTGCAGTCTCTCCTTCCTGGGTTCAAGCAATTCTGCCTGAGCCTCCCAAGCAGCTGGGATTATAAGTGTGCGCCACCACGCCCAGCTAATTTTTGTGTTTTTAGTAGAAACAGTGTTTCGTCACGTTGCCCAGGATGGTCTCAATCTCCTGACCCCATGATCCACCCTCCTTGGTTTCCCAAAGTGCTGGGATTACAGGTGTGAACCACCACACTCAGCCCCAAGTACTCTTAAATGACAAGTTTTCCTAAGAAGTAATCTTGCTCCGAATATTTCACCTGAATCCCATCAAGTTTCTGACTTAAAAAATCAGTTTACAGGAAATACTGGCAGTAGAGGAGAAAAATAAGTAACATCATAAATCATCAGATATATCCAGTGATGAGATATTGTATAAGACTACTGGCCTTAATGCTTCAAAAAGAGGGCAATTGAAAGAAGAAATCAAGAAAGTAAGCCAGCCAGCAAGCAAAAAAGAAACAAAGAGAAAGAAAGAAATAACTAAAGAAAGAAAGAAAAAGAGAGAAGGAAAGAAAAAGGAAGGAAGGAAGGAAGGAAGGAAGGAAGGAAGGAAGGAAGGAAGGAAGGAAGGAAGAAAGGAAGGAAGGAAGGAAGGAAGGAAGGAAGGAAGGAAGGAAGGAAGGAAGGACTCAACGTACAGAGGAAGGAAGGAAGGAAGGAAGGAAGGAAGGAAGGAAGGAAGGAAGGACTGAACGTACAGAGGAAGGAAGGAAGGAAGGAAGGAAGGAAGGACTGAATGTACAGAGGAAGGAAGGAAGGAAGGAAGGAAGGAAGGAAGGAAGGAAGGAAGGACTGAACGTACAGAGGAAGGAAGGAAGGAAGGAAGGAAGGAAGGAAGGAAGGAAGGAAGGAAGGAAGGACTGAACGTACAGAGGAAGGAAGGAAGCAA